AAAAAGCCTCCAAGAAAACTCTGGAATAACAAGAATTAGATAAGTTACTACACAGTGGACACTCCATTTTACATGTGGTATTTACTTGCAGCTGTACACTATACATTGGGGAAAAACATTTGCGCTCCTATGAAGTTACAAAGCCGTTATGTATTAGAGACCCAAAAAATAGCGATAACAAAAGACAGTTGTTCATCTAGCAAATAATTGAAATCAGGTCAGTAACAGGCAGCAACAGCTCTTACAAAATATAATGTTTATAAAAAAGTACGCGGTGTAATTACCATTATTACTACTACTTTAAAATACTAACAAATATTTAGAACATTACTGTTGCAAACACACCTCTAGTTTCTGCCACTGCAAAGTTTCTAATCACTGATTTCACTTTAAAAAAATGAATCATTTTTAAACCACATTTCAAAAAAAAAACCTTCAACAAATTTATTCCATCTGGTTTAGGATTTCAGATATTATGCCAAAAACCTACATATTGCTTTATATCCTCTATAGCTTACTGCATAAACAGCAGTAACAAGGATGAAGTAGGAGGAATAACAGAGCAAAGTAGGGTGAAAAGAAACAACAACAGGGGATATAATACAAGGCCTAAAGCAGCCCCCAGGTTGGCGAAGGGGAACAGGGGTTTCTATTTGCTGCCTCTTCCTACACCCACAGTTCTCTCAGCAAATGAAGAGAGCACTAGTAGGTTCAAGAGGCAGCGGTTCTTCATACAACCTATGTTAGCTACACAACTCTGCCCTCAGATAGAGTGGATGTTACAAGTTTACCCGTAGTACTGCTCCAGGCACCAATCCATTATGAGCATGAAATGTTTGTCCTCACCTTACAACAGCATTCCCTAGGCACGAACTTTTGACCAGCACCAAACACAAGAAACTAGGAGAGACCATCCTTTGACCTTGCACAAACATTTCTTACAAGCAGCTGCAAAACACATTAGCGGCTCTATGGGAAACTCAACCAGATTAGTACAAAAGCCCACATTTTCTCTTAAGAATTAGGCACTAATCTGCTTTGATGTACTAAAGCAGACTACACTTCACTAATTCACTGTGATTTGGGGTTTTTTTGGAGAAATTACACTATGTTCTCAAACGAGAGCATCCACTTCAACTAGATCAATTTGGTATACATGAAACAGTCATTCTCGCTTCACCAGTTTAATCTCAAAAATTGAGTAAGAACACATTTCAAGACATTATGGGGACCTGAAGTTTGAAATGTAGCATTAATAACAAAGTCTAGAGGAAAGTTTGATCTGAATGCTGCTGCCTAGCAGTAGGAACATGGAGTGACTTTTTGCTTACCCCTACAAGTCAAGCAAAGACATGGTGCAATTCTGAACTATAAAACAGCGATTCACACAGGACTAAACCGACTTTATTTGTTCAGATAGCAAGAAGCCCTAATTCAATCCACAAAGATGTGTATAACTAACTGAAACCTAGTTATATCTACTTCACATTCTCCCATGAAAGCAGAGGCAGATGACCAACAAGGTGGTCAAACTAAGACCAAATGGTCCTCCAAGTCTCTGCCAGGCACATACTCACATTAATTGCTGAAACAAGAAATAAAACTTTTTTTTTTAAATGACTGCACACTAGAACCATTCCTGATTTTTGGCTTCTGGGGAAGAGGGAGAGAGAACGAACAAAGTTTCAACAAGAATTCCAAATCTTTAGACTATTTTAAACTGTTACACAGATTACTTTTGGGCATGTCCATATTTTTTTCCTCAGAAATTCTGCACTCATTCTCCAGATTAGCCTTATACTTTTCTTCCCCCCAAGCAAACAAGGAAGCACATTACCTTTAAGTAAACATTATACAAGATGGTCTCACAGTGCCTTCCAAATTATGAAGCTGTACCATCATTTAAAGCAGTCAGCCAGAACTAACATTGGTAACACACCACTTCTCAAGACACTGCATATGAATATTTCAACTGTACCCCCAAGAGATTAGCCATGATCTCATCCAGAGAAGACACGAACATATGGAATAAAGAAATCAACAGCTGGTATCTCCTCCAGTTGCTATCGACGATACTGCTGCGGGGAAACTATGCAAAACAAGAAGTATTTTAAGCAGCCATCATATGGCTTATTATGTTACAGCTTAAGAAAATGAAGACAGAGAACTAAGGTTTTCAGAAGCTGGCCAAACACTAAGCTACGTTCTTGATTTCATGCAAAAAGACAGACGCTGAAGATTTTGCTACATCAAGACGGAAATCAATCTGCATTCAGTCCTTATGAGTTATAGCTGTACTAAAGGACTTGCAGGATTCACAGCAGCATATAAATGGTGCAGAAATCCCAGCCTCAGCTTCACACAGAGCCCAAAAAAGCTTTTGCATGTCCACAGAGATAGGGACACACATTAAGGAATCCACACGCTTCAGAAACCCAAAGTGCATTGACCTGGCTGATTCTTTTAAGATATGTATTTTTTTAAATCTATACATCACAGTACACCAAGCACTTTGCCTAGGCCAAACCTGCTAAGCACTAAGCGGCTGCTATTTCACCAGCCCGGAAGGATTACTACCAACTGCTCTCATTTTAAGCGCTGCCTTACAGGACTGCTGAAAGATTTACTGATGTTTCCAGGACTATCACATGCACTTTCCCCAAAGCCCCCCCCCGACAGCAGCTGTGTAGGAAAAATGGAAGCCGAGTTTCATGACTAAACCCTGTATTGGCGAGGCCATGTGCGCATGGAGAAGCAGCAGGGGAACATCCCAAGCCGTGATCCATAAATTATATTAAAAGCACCCCAAACCTTTGGTTTTCGCCATCTCGGCCCCTGCTGTTTTGCCAGCTCTTCCCCGAGCCCGCTCCGCACAGCAGCGGCTCCCGCGGGGAGACGGC